CTTTAGGAAGTGACAGGACGTAAATGATGGTCACTGAGTGTGACACAGTGTCCTCGTCCTCATGTTATCCACATAAACTCTGACATTACATCCTTTATGAAGACTGACTCGCTCTGAATCGCATATTTGGATCAAGCAGCTGCTACAAACAGGACGATGTGACAGTCAGAGGTCAAAGGTCAGACTCTGCTGCAGTGAGAGTGAAGGTGGGACTCACCGAGCAGGAGCAGAGAGGCAGCTGCAGCCTTCATGATGTCTGGATGCTGACTGACTGTGTCAGACGCCTTCAGCTTCCCTTTCATCACTTCCCTTTGATCCCATTGGGTCCCTGTGTGCTGTTGGTGGAGCCTCACAGTACTGCATCTATCAGAGAGTTTAGCAAAGGCTGGATCATTGCTTTGTTTTCAGCCTGACAGGAACACAAACCTGACTCTGTGACTCGTTGGTTTTCCCCATTTTATGATGGTTTTCATGAACAGATGCTTGTCACAGAGTTCCTCAGGGTTCTGTGCTGGGACCAGTAACTTTTCACTTCATACTTCCTTCAGGCAGTATTATTAGAAAACACTGCATTTGTTCATTGCTATGCAGATGATAACCAGCTGTACTGATCCAAAAGCCAGATGACACAAATCCACCAGTTCACATAAAGACCTGGTTTGTGATTCATTTCTTTCTTAATAAATTCATGAAATGTTAAAAAGTCATCATTATCTGAAACTGTTCAAAGCTTCCTGATCAACACTTCCTGCTGCACTTTCAGATCCTCTCTCTGCTCACAGGAGAATCAAACCACTGAAGGAGACGGCTGACCTTTGACCTCTGACTCCTCTCAGCGTGTTTGCTCTGCAGCTTGTAAACGATGATATAATAAAACATGTCGTTACAATAATGTCAGATGTTGGTGTTGCTGACGTTAAAGTCACAGGTGTAGATCATGAGAGCAGAAGTGTTGTGTTCAGGTGTGACGGAGCTGCTGTCGTTAGATTTAAATAGAAGCGAGCGTCCAGCCAATGAGATCAGTTCTGCTCTGTGTGCTCTCTCCTGGTTGGTCTGTGGATGTTTCCATGCGGTTGCCATTACAGGTTATCTTAGTGTGTTATGAGTGTGTTTCCTGATGATGTTCCCCTTTAGTCCTGTGCAGCTCGTCTCAATCACACGTTTTTGATGTTTGAATCTTTCATTGTGGTTGGATCAGGTTAAAGCACAAAAACAGAACCAGGTAAGGAAACAGACGGGGAAAAATGACAGGCAGGAACTGTTAAACTGCTTGAGAGAGTTGACCAGCAAACAGTGACTGACAGATTTTCCAACCTCAAGCTGAGGCCACACAGGTTAAAATAAAAGGAATAAATCTGCAGAGCCGTAGCAACAGTTTCAAGGACTCTATTTTTGGAGTCTATTTTTTATATATCTGTATTGTATTATACAAACACATTAAAAGTGAATCTCTGTCCAAAAAAATGCACTCAGTTTACTTCTTACTCACTGTGAGCATCCTTCATCATCCTCCCGCCGTAATTAAAGTTAGGATATGTGTTTTTATTTATTCCGATCCATTCTTTGTTTGCAGTAGTTTCCTTTGTTTCCTTTGCAGCATCCAAACAAACTTTATCAGATTTGATGGTTTTGTTACAGACCTTAAAAAGTGTTTTTCTTTTCTTTCACACATGTGTGATTAAATTGTGTTAAAATGCACAAAACAGTGATGTCATGTGTTAGCTTCATATTATTGATTGTCATTGATGCTTAGAAGTATATAATCATTGGTAAAGAATGTCTCATCCTATGAGGTCTGTAACAACTCAGCATGAAGAGGGGAGTGTGTTCACTCCTCTTCAGCGTGTTCTGACATAGATCACACACCTCCTAGGGTCATGAGAGAGGTCGTATCTTCTCTTGCTGATATGTGGTATAGTAAACACACGTATATCTGGTTAGGTGTAAGAGCCTTTGTTTAGGTGGACCACTGGACTCCTGGCACCAGCTTTGGGGAGTCGTTCACAGGATCATCTTGATTGCACAGAGATGGTAAAATTATGATGACTGATAACGGAGACGAAGACAACAGACGATGAGGACAGGGAGGAACAGGTTTAAATGCACCAAGGAGACAGTCAGAGAGAACAACTGGAGATATTTAAGGATGCAGGGACTGACAGAGACGGGGAAGACGTCTCATTGTGACAAGTAAAGTTGATCTTGCCAGGCTGGGCAGCTCTCTGGGTGCTCAGCACCCCCAAAGCTCTGATCCTAGAATCGCCCATCTATGAGTATGAACAATTGACAATGTGCTGTGCAGACTCCGGTGTGACGTCAGCATCGTAGAAACAGGAGCAGACAGGCTGTAGGCACAGAAGTGTCTGAGCTG